AGGTGGGTGAATCATCTGAGGCCAGGAGTTCAAGACCAGCCTGGCCAACATGGCGAAACCCTGTCTCTACCAAATACAAAAATTAGCTGGACCTGGTGATGTGCGCCTGTAATCCCAGCTACTCGGGAGGCTGAGGTAAGAGAATCACTTGAACCTGGGAGACAACAGAGGTTGTAGTGAGCCAATATTGCACCACTGCACTCTAGCCTGGGCAACAGAGTGAGACTTTGTCTCAAGAAAAGAAACCGTTGAAATCAAAGCCTGCAAGCAACTTTCTTGTGGCCAGATTTTCCTATCTATACTCATAAATTCAGTCTTTCTTTAGAGCTACCATGATACCTCATTGCCGGGTCTGTAACTCATAGGTAAGGTTGTCCACCCACCCACCCAAGTGTTCTCACTCTGTGCCATGCTCCTCCAATAAGGACACTGCTGCAGATCCTTCAGAGGAACCAGAGGATCAGGATCATTGCTTTGAAGCTGAGCAAAGCTCTGATGTTGACTTCAGGGCTGCAGAGTTGTTCATTTGTTCCTATGTCCTAACAAATGCTCTGCCTGTGGCCCTGCTCCTGCATCTCCCAAAGCCACTGCTTTTCTCAACTTGAGGAGAACTGTGGTCAACTAATAATTAATAAGCCCCATCTTGTGCTACAGGCCCTGTTACAGAAAAGACTAGCTCCCTCTTTATGGGGGATCAGAAATCAGAGGCTAAGTTCTCATGGGGCATACAGGAAAGGCTTTAACAAACTCTCCAGGCCCCTCACATTGGAGCCTTTCTGGGTACAGACACAAGGCACGTCACACTGGATGCAAACAAACACACACCTCCCTAAACACACAGCACACCACTTGATGAACCAGGATTTTTCCACAATCATGTTTAAGTTAAGAGCAAGGGCAATCTTCAAGGAAAGAAGTCATAAAAGGCCAGCAAAGTAATATATTTGCACAGGAAAGGAAAGTGGAACGATTTAATTTACTTCCTTTTACTAATTTGGTCATAGTGCTGGGCTTCGAGGCTGATGATATGGGCTAATAGATGACTGGGAAAAAATTGAGTATTTTTAAAAACATATTATCCAGTAACCAGGTCACATGTGGACATGTAGTCAGAGCAATTCCTACAGGAACTCTCACTGTTTTTTCCTACAATGTTACCAATGTTCACTGTGCACTCCTAGGTCATCAATGAGGGTCACAATGACAGTAAAAATGTGGCTGTGAGGAAGAGGTGTTACAAAAATGAGTTACATATATGTGTTCATATGTACAGTATAACTTACATGCTGAGCAATACATTTTGAAACATTCCATTCTTTTTGATTCAATTAATACTTTAACTTTGCAAAGTTGGATGAGGGTTTTACTTACTCTTTTTTTTTTTATTTTTAAGCTCTCTCTCTTTCTTTCCTTTTTAACAGAGTGAATATCTTGTTGTCAGCTGCTCAGGGAGTCCCAAGCTGGGTGGCCAGGGCCCAAGCTTGGTAGCCAGGGCCATCAGCCAGGATGTGATTACTATACCCTAGGGAGGGCTTTGACTCGGATTATGGTCTGCATGGAAAGGCATGCATCTTTGCTAAACTGCCCGTGGCTGGGAGAGTGTGAAGGCCGTTTCTCCATTTTTCCTAAACCACAGCAGGCTTGGTTCTCCCTGGCTACCTAAGGGGGGCTCTAACACGTTGCCTTTTGGGATCAAAGGGAAGAAGAACTTTACAAGCTTCTGCCAGGACTGTTGGTGGCTTGCACTTTTCACACTATTCCTACCATAGTAGGAATTCTGGAAGGAGGAGTAGGTTTAGCCACAGCAGCTGAGGTTGTGTAATGGGATGAACAGCTATTTGGAGGCACTGCCAGTCCCTTCCCTTTTTGGGTCAAAGAAAAGACTTTGCACAGGATGCAGAGGGTTGTAGAAGGGTCCTTATGCTACTGGAGTTATCCTTTCATTCTGTGGAGGAAGCCCAGAGAATTCACCTTCCCTGGCTATGGACTCCACAGTCTCTCTCCCTCTGCTCTATCTGCTATCACGCAGAGCAGCCTCTTGACTACCCTGGAAGAGCTGCCCATTAGAAACTGGGCAGAAGGGTAACAGAGAGGCAATTCCCCACTCCCCTCCCCATGCCCACTGCAGATCCTGGCTCTTGGGCCATTTCTAGTGCCATGTATTCAACACCTGATAAGCAGCTGGGCAGAATTATGTAAATCATCACATTTTGCATCATCTTTTCTATTTGCCAAATTTAAGTATATTAATTCTTAAATATACATCACCAAGCAGGAATCTGTGTTATGTATTTAATGTAAATTGATAACTCCATTTTCACCTGAAAAAACAGCTATATAGCTAGTGTTTATTAATTGAGAGTATACTACGTGCTGGGCCCCGTAAAGTATGTTAAGTACTTTACCTAATTTTAGTTTTTAAATTTAAATATTACAGATATCCTAAAAGTTAGGTTATATTATGTTCATTTTACAAATGAAGAAATTAAGAATCAGAAAGAGTTAAAAAAAAATTGTCCAAGATCACATAAGTAAGTGTGCAGTGTGTGCTGGGGCAAAAATTCAAACCCATGGAAACCCTGGCCCCCTATATTGTCTTCTTTAAATCCAGGGTAGAATAAAAACTGTAGTAGGTTAAAAGTTAGCTTTTTCTACCATGGGAGGATAGAGACAGTGCAAGGTATAGCTAGTGTTTATAAAATTAAAATTTTGATATGGAGAACATAAAATGGTTCATTCTGGTTCCAAATAATGGAATAAAAGAGTTACCTTTTTGAATGTAAAATAAATTTGTTTGGGGACACATCGATCCTGTGGATTTCTTTATCCTATCAAGGGTATTAAGAATGTGAAAATCCAATAGGTTAGGTAAGCCAAATAAATAGGGACAAGGAGGGCTTGCATGACTTTGTTTATCAGATAATCAAGCACTTCCTTTAGAAGTATTAGATTGAATATGAAATTATCATTTTTTTTATTTAAAAGCAAATACTTTCAATTTCATATGGTTCCACTTAGCTAGAGGCTGTGCCTAACTTTATCTATAAAGAATACAGACTCTATGCACAAAGTTAACTACAATTCTATTCTCTAAGGCTGGATATAGGACACAAGGACACAGTACAAAAGTTTTTGTTTGGGTTTTGTTGAAAACTTTAGTAAAATGGCTCTTTTTCTTTCCTAGTATTTTGTGTGTTGGAGGGAGAGGAGGTTAGAAATTGAGATTTTAATCATCATAGAACTGAAAATTGGATTTCGGTGTTCATTCTGCTCTAACTGCTATGTCAGAATGTCCAACCTATCAGGATTTCAGTTTAATCATCTGTCAAACAAGGAGATGCATTACTTTTGCTTCTATAATTTTGCAGAGAGTTATGAATACACAGCTGACTTTTGCTGTCAGAATTGTCAAAATCTGTTCCTACATCAAATGTCCCTTTAATATGGCCTTCCATATCTCTAGAATCTACTCAATATCAGATAGGGGTGAACTGACTGAGACAAGGTTTCTTTACATGGGATCTATATGTCTGGGTCTGAACAGCTGGATTTAACAAATACAAATACAAGATGTCAAGTTACATATGAATTTCAGATAAACTATGAATCATATTTTAGTATAGGTACGTCCCAGGCAGTGTTGGGGACATACTTATACTAAAAGTTGATTTGTAGCTTACCTGAAATTTAAATGTAGCTGGATGATCTGACTTGTACCTGGCATTCCTGATCTGGGTTGGGTATCAGGTAAGTCCATGAGTCCTATGGGATAGTCTGAAACATACTGTGTGCATATGTTTATGTGTACTTTCCACACAGTGGGCTCTGCATTTTCATGAGATCCATAATCCGAAATAGATCCAAAATGACTGGACTGAGAATAATGCTGCCAAGCTCTGGCACATAATTGGACCCTTGTCTGTAAGTGGGCAAGTCCATGTGAAAGCATGGCACTTAAATTCTTCCTGGCCCCAGCTGATCCCAGAAGAAGGCCCCCAGAACTGGTTACAGAAAAGAGTTGTTACTTCATATTTGAGAACATTTTCCTTCCCACTGCCCTGCACCCGTGCTTCCTGGGAGAGCGTCCACAACAGGGCAAGCTGAAAAGCCATGTGTGCTAAAGTGTCACTGTCACTCTCACGCCAGTATGAACTGGGATCCCAGAATGTCTTTTTGCCAAAGGGGCGAATCAGCTGCTCCTGCTCCCTGTCCTGGCCACATTCCTATCACTGCATCTGTCGGGGCTCATCAGCCCTACCTCCAGGAATAGCAACCCTCCTGGCTTCTGTCGCTTGCCATTTTAAGTCCAGCTTCGGGGTGATGGGGGTGGGGGGTGGTTTCCACTTTACCATGACACTTCCAACATGATTTTAAATATAAAATATTTGTCAGCATAATCACATGTGCACATTTAAGACAAATATCTATTTTTTAGCCAAACAACAAATTTTTTTTTTTTTTCCAGAAAGGATATTTCCATTTTGTCAATAGGTTATATTTCTGGGAATTCAGAGTTGTCTGATGTCTGTGCTACAGATTTAGTTAAAACTGGTAACATTTTATCCAAACTGATCAGTACCAAATGTTAAAATGATTCTTGATAAAAATATAGAATTCTAAACTTTGTGAACAAAGCCTAAGAATTTTCTCTCCTTCTCCTTCTCTGTAAAGTAGTGAAAGAAAAATGTATCTTAAGCTTTAGAGATTTAGAATTTTTGTTAGAAATTACAGGTGGTTTTACATTTATAGCGCATCGCTGTCATGCATTTCTGTTACTGTGACATTCTCCTAACACACTACATTTCTCAGATTTCAAAAAAATGTTTTCTGTCTCCCAACTTCAGATTAGGGACATGAACCACCTGACCCAGCTGTAGACTCCCTTCAGTGAAATAGCTCTACAACCACAAACACTCAGCCCACCGTCTCCCACCCACACATCCACACACACCCCAGGATCTAGAAGGCAGGAATTGGAGACTCTAGTCCCAGCTCCTTACCCTCCTTGGGTGAAGTGGCAGGTCAACTGGAGATGATGAAGTTTTAGCAGGAGACTCCTCTTGGGAAGGGATCTGTGGAGACAGAGAGAGGGAGAAGGAAAATCCAGTGGGGAGCCACCAGCAGCCACCTGACAAGACCCGACTGCAGCAATTTTTAGAGTGACCCTTTGCAGTCCCACTGGATAAGGCAGGCCGAGCTTGCGCTTTGGCTGGGAGCACAGCAGCGAGCGCCCTCCTCGCCGTCTTTGGCCTTCAACTCTCCGGGCCATCCGGGGGCAGGGGGCGGGGCTCCGGTTGGTGGAGAGGGATTGGGTTTCTTGACCTGACCGGCTGTTCAAAAATAAAAAAAAAAAAAGAAGGAAAGAAAGAAAGAAAGTCAAGAGCTCAATCAACCTGTATGAGACGAAAGAAAATTAACTCGATGGGTGTTTAATTGTTGGAAGCAGGGATTCTAGTAGAGTAAGGAGAAGGGAAGGCTGTGGATTAAAAATTAGTTTTTGGAAAGGTAATTAGCCTGGTCACCTACGGTCTTTTGAGAAGAGAGTGGTTATAAATAGCCTGTTCTTTATAAGAGGAGCACTTATCTATCAGACATGGTACTTTCTACAGCACCTCACATGTGGTTCTAACATTATTAGGTTCATTTTATAGTTTAATAACGTGAGGTTTATGGCCAGCGATTTTCCCGTGATCACAGAGAGGTCTGAGATTAACACACACTCTGGTACACATGCAGGTTGGGAAATACCTACCTTGGCAACACTTCATGAGAAAAAAAAAAAAATTAAGGATTGTAATTGACTAAAAACTTTTAATGGGCACCAAGAGTGTGAAATGGTTGCTTAAAAAGTTAGCATGATATTAAGCTACAATAATAGAAAAATAGTTCATGGAAAATAAATGTTCTAATTATTCTTCATTAGTCAGACGATGTGTTAAGCATCGCTTTGCCATCTTGGCACTCTGAGAACTTACTCTTCATCCTACAGAAGATAACTGGAACAAAAAAACTTCAGCAGCGGTGCATGTTGGAAACATCTGAAGAGAAGTACGACAAAGAGAGGAATTTTAAGATAGGTGAGATTCCTGAGAGCAAGTGTTGTGGGGGCTGTTGTACAGCAAGGGGATTCAATCAAAATTTCTGTAGCCTAAAATGTCAAAATTTGTAATGTGCAGTAATTCCGGGGAAATACCTTAAAATAAAGAAGAGTGCAGATAACAGCTGGGTTCTAATGATGACAATGTCAGCCTTGTAAAAGAGCCAGTTCTCTATAATTAGGAGGGTGGAAGTAAAAGAAGTTGCAGGACTGGTGTGACATTGAAGGGACTCTGTCTATGGCTGGGGGCTTCACTGCGTCATCTCTGATATCTTTCCGACTCTAAGCCTCTTTGATTCTACATGTACCAGTCTCCAGTTCACCTGAGACTCTCATTTCACTGGATAGCATCTGTCTATTGACTACTTCTGTTGGAATTCCCACCAAGTTTTTAGTAGGAAAAACTATTTTGATTTTTTTTTAAATTCTTTGCTTCCACCCATAGATCTCCAGCACAGAATGCGCTGGGAGTAAATCAAAGAAGTTTATACTATGGTTTGCTTCTAAGCAATTCTACTTGGTCCCACCTCCTTGACTCAGGTAAAGGGTCAGAATATTCCATCTTTTTTTTTTTTTTTTTGTAGAGACAGGGTCTCACTATGTTGTCCAAGCTGGTCTCAAATTCCTGGTCTCAAGTAATCTGTCTGCCTTGGCCTTCAATCTTGTTTTATTATAATAAAAGTCAGCCTTATATCAGTATTTATGATAATGATGATATAATGATAGAAAGGGCCTTCAAGAAGATGTTGGTACCAATATTATCATCTTCAAGGGTTCAGGACTATTAATTCCAGTTTTACTGGAACATCACTGAGATGCTTCTTTCAATAGAATATAGTTTAATGTTAAGATACGAACACAAGTGGAAGAATAAAAGGCAAAAGATGGAAAATCTAAGACACTTTAAAAAATCACTTTCAGAGTAGCTACTCTCTGTAACCATTCAACTACTGCTATGGTAGATACACTGGAGACACAGCTTGGAACAGGAGGTTATAGTGAAAACTAAGAAATTTTGTCTTCATCTTTAAAGCAATGAGCCTACCAATTGGAGCATATTTAATAAAAAAGAGGGCCATGATGAGATTGGCATTTTAGAATGAACATTCTATAATTTGGGGATGTAACCTTAATGGAATTTAGATTGAGCAATTATTTGTTTCTATTGCTACTACCTGTCTCTCTTCCACCAACCTCCCAATACCCTCTGCCATACAGCCAGCTCAAATGTAAGCTCCATGAAGGCAGGGCTTTTTAGCTGTCCTAACAGCAGACTTTCTCTTTTGCTGGCTTTGATAAAACCCAGTGCCAGGTTGGAGATGCCCAAGCAAGAAGCAGCCAGCTAGAAACTAAAGCCTTCAGTTCAACATCCCAAAAGATGATGACAATCATCTTTTAGTGAACCTGGAAGTCAGTCCTTCCCCAGTAAGCCTTCAGTTGAGGCCCTAGCCCTGTCTAATACCTTGATTGAAGCCTTGTGAGAGAGCCTAGAGCAGAGGACCTAGGGAAGCTCTGCCTCCATCCCTGATGCAAAGAATCAGTGAGCTTATAAATGCATGTTGTTTTAAGCTGCTAAGTTATACAGCACTAGGTGACTAATATGGTATGCTTCTATTTGTCTTTTACTAGTTTAATTCTTGCAGCATCTTTGCCAGATAAAATTCCTGTTTTATATATAAGAAAACTAAGGCTGTTTTAACTTGTTTCAGATCACATGGCTGGTAAGGGATGGAGTCAGAATTTGGACCCAAGTTGTCAGGCTCCCAAGTGTGCTCTCTTGATTACTTGACTTTACACGAAGGCAGTGGCTGGGTCTGATTTGTTCACAGTTGTCCCATTCTCCAACATAGTGTATGGCACATAGTAGATTCTCAATAATGGTTAATTAATTTCTTAATCTAGAACATTGCTAACTGAATGATGAATAGATTTATTTTGTTCATGCAAGATAGTTTTATAAGCATTTTCAAAAAGTATAATTGTGCCTGTTTGGTCTCAGAGGTTTCTTCTTGTTTTGTGGTATGGCTTCTTCAGGGCCGCATACTAATTGACTGAAATTTACAGGTGCATTTCAGTGTGTAGAGTAGTGTAATATAAACATGATGCAAGCCGCATATGTAATTTTAAATGACCTAGGGGTTACTTTTAAGAAGTAAAAAGAGGCTGGGCGCAGTGGCTCACGCCTGTAATCCCAGCACTTTGGGAGGCCGAGGCAGGCAGATCATGAGGTCAGGAGTTTGAGACCAGCCTGAGCAACATGGTGAAACCCCGTCTCTACTACAAATACAAAAATTAGCCAGGTGCCGTGGTGCGTGCCTGTAATCCCAGCTACTCAGGAGGCTGAGGCAGGAGAATTGCTTGAACTTGGGAGGTGGAGGTTGCAGCAAGCCAAGATGACACCACTGCACCCCAGCCTGGGCAACAGAGTGAGACTCCATCTCAAAAAAAAAAAGAAGTAAAAAGAAACAGGTGACATTTATTTTAGTAAAACATTTTATTGAAGTCAATATATCTATATTACTATTTTAATATGTAATTAATATAAAAATTAGTAATGGGATATTTTACATTCAGAATAAATACTACAGCTGCAAAATTTGGTCTGGTTTTTACATTTTTTAGTATATTTCAAAGATGGAAAATCTAAAACACTTTAAAAAATCATTTTCAGAATAGCTACTCTCTGTAGCCATTCAACTAGTGCTATGGTAGATAGACTGGAAACACAGCATGAAACAGTAGGTTATAGTGAATATTAAGAAATTTTGTCTTCATCTTTAAAGAAGTAACCTGGATATTCCCTATTACAAGCACTCAGTAGCCATACCTGGCTAATATTGGAGAGTGCAGGTGTATGGACAGTGCATGTGCATGAATGGTGTAGTTGTATAAACAGTGCATTGTGTGAATGGTGCAGGCGTATAGACAGTGCATGTTTTGAATGGCGCAGGTGTGTGGACAGTACATGTGTGTGAATGGTATAGGTGTATAGACAGTGCATGTGTGTGAATGGTGCAGTTGTATGAGCAGTGCATGTATGTGAATGGTGCAGGTGTATAGACTGTATATGTTTTGAGTGGTACAGGTGTATAGATAGTGCTTTTGTGTGAATGGTGCAGGTGTATGGACATTGTAGGTGTATGGACATTGTAGGTGTGTGAACAGCACAGGTACATGGACAGTGTCAGTGTATGAATGGTGCAGGTGTATGAACAGTGCAGGTGTGTGGACTGTGTGTGTGTGTGTGAATAGTGCAGGTGTATGGATAGTATAGGTGTATGAATGGTGCAGGTGTATGAACAGTGCAGGGCAGGTATGTGAATAGTGCAGGTGTGTGAATGGTGCAGGTGTAATGCTTGGACGGAAGAGTCAACCTTTGGGAATCTATGGAATATCCATTCCCCTTGTGACCGCTCTCTCTGTTATAATTCCAGGATACATCAGAAATAGCTCAAAATAAAAACTGAATTTTAGGGACAGAAGTTGTCTGAAAGTTGCTCTTAAATCATAGCTAGAACATAAAGGACTTATCACTTTGGACACCTGAGAAAGCTTTCATTAATTTTGGGCATGGACCTTCATGTTTTTAAAACTGGGGTTAATGAAATAGGCAATTTCATTTCAGGCAAAAGAAAGGAAAGGTTAAGAGAACAAAATTGCCCAAGATTTGGGTTATTAGAAGGTGAGACTTGAGAAGGTGACCTTTTAGCAATGACTATATTAGGTTTTTGGTTGTACAAAGTAATTGAGGAGCCAGAAAGGCCAGGAGCCAAATAGGCAGTGGAAAGGTGAAGCAGACAGATTTTACTTCCAGCTGCCCCACATCTGAACCTCTTTCCTATGGTGGTGCATTTTCCCACTGTGTGAGGTCAGGCAGAAAGCAGAGTCTGTCTTTCACCATAGAAGCCAAAAACCAGATGCTTCATTTGTCAGGCTCCTGTGCAGCTATGGCAAGAAGGGGCACAAGACATAGGCTTGACCTATCAGATGCCTGCGTCCAGCCTAGAAATGAGGAGCTAGTGATGCAAAGAAGCAGGTGGAGAGGACGCTGTTTTGGCAGTGGGGGGTTGCATGGACTGAGCAGTATCAGCAGCACTGGTTTGTAGGAACAGCACTGGCAGTAGGGCAGTGGTGGCATCCCTGGGTCCAGAGCAGGAGGCTTTAGGACATGAAACTGTGACATGGAGGCAGCTGTGGTGTCTGGAGCTGTTGGCCTTGACCGTGGCTGCAGAGTTTTCTCTTTCTTTTGCTCCCTCCCTTTCTCTGGCCTGGTTCTCTGATCATACAGCGGAGGTTCTATGAGCTGCCCAGCGCCCTTTTAAAGGATTCTTTCCTCCTCAGTTGCTCAGTTGGCTAGCTCCGGAGCTCAGCTGCTCTGCATAATAGATCGCAGGGGACATGAGGAAGAGAAGCTGAGAGCAGACAGCCTGGAAAACAGGGAAGCATGGAGTTGGTAGGAGTCTTGTGGGAGACAGGGGCTGAGCTACATCACAGGAAGCTGTAGTGTGAGAAAACAAGGAATTACTGATGGTTGTGTGGTTGAAGGGCCTGCCACCACAAAGGTGCCTAATGATTCATTTTCAGCTGTTTGCATTTTGTTGCAACAAGTGCTCTCCATAGCACAAAAGTTTCAGTGAAGTCTGCTATACATAAATGCCTGGGCGGTGTGTTGAGTGGAATCAATGAAAAGTCACCGCAGTCGGCACAGAGCAGACGTGAGGGGAGAGCTGTGGCTGGGCCGTGAGGGGGAGTGCAGCAGAGCAGTAACTTGGAGTCAGTGGTGACAGACATGAGCCTACAACCTGGGAAATTCTCTGAAATCCTGGCAAGGGCACAGAGGTCCCCCATGGCTGTGACTTAGAAAGGTCAAGCCAATTTTATGGGAGACCTCAGCTGACATCTGGGTTACACCAGTGTTAATTTATCCGTCTTCACTAAGAACAGCTGGCTCAGGGATCGGTCACACGGGACAACAAGTGCCATTTCTCATCTTTTATGTGGCAGAAGTAATCTTTGTCTGAAAAACGAACGTTAGTGACTCCCCAAACAAGTGGGAGGAAAATCTGTATTCCAAGAATTTTCTGATAATAGAAACGAAACATCGCTTTTTTTAAATTTTTGAGATGGAGTTTCACTCTTATTGCCCAGACTAGAGTACAGTGGCATGATCTCAGCTCACTGCAACCTCCACCTCCCGGGTTCAAGTGATTCTCCTTCCTCAGCCTCCCAAGTAGCTGGGATTACAGGCACCTGCTACCAGGTCCAGCTAATTTTTTTGAATTTTTAGTAGAGACGGGGTTTCACCATGTTTGCCAGGCTGGTCTTGAACTCCTGACCTCAGGTAATCGACCCACCTTGGCCTCCCAAAGTGTTGTGATTACAGGCGTGAACCACTGCATCTGGCCAAAATGTTGCCTTTTTAAGGAGAAACAGAGAAATATGTTTTATTATTTCAAACACATGAGTTTTAAATGAGAAGCAATGGCTAAGATAACTCCAGCAACAAGTCAATGTGTTCAAAAGTCTGATCGAATTTTTACTTTGGAAAAATAAACATGGGGCCAATCAATGAAATAAAAACTTTGATGGAAACTGCGGCTAATTTGGGAATTCATACAGCCTATCCCAATAGTATCTAGAAGTGCTAGTTGTACTTGGTCTGTGCTCAATATAGTTAAGAGGTTCTTGACGTAAGTGGGCACTTGCAAACCACATGCTCTGTTGTGACATTTTGGAGGCAGCAGCACCATTCTAGTGTAAAGGCACACTTGCAAAGGAGAAAACATATTTATTGCAAGGATTAACACATTATGGGCATAGTTTTCAAAACATAGAAAACATGTTTGTTTTTTTTTTTTTAATCTGCATATGAATGCTGAACTCTCATTTGCTGTAGCACCATCGAAGAGTCAACCCTTAGGCCAGGCGCAGTGGCTCACGCCTGTAATCCCAACACTTTGGGAGGCTGAGGCAGGTGGATCACGAGGTCAGGAGATCAAGACCATCTTGCCTAACATGGTGAAACCCTGTCTCTACTAAAAATACAAAAAATTAGCTGGGCATGGTGGCGCATTCCTGTAGTCCCAGCTACTTGGGAGGCTGAGGCAGGAGAATCACTTGAACCCGGGAGGCAGAGGTTGCAGTAAGCCAAGATCGTGCCACTGCACTCCAGCCTGGGTGACAGAGAGAGACTCCATCTCAAAAAAAAAAAAAAAAAAAAAGTCAACTCTTTTAGGATGTAGGAGCCTATTATTCAGAAAACCTGCTTTCCTGGCATAGCGCTTATCTTAATAAAAGTTAGAGACTGGCTCGTGTGGCCACCTTAAGTTAAAATGATTTAACTTTTCCTTTTTAACAAGTTTTGAATGGCTTGCCTATTCTACCAATTGCCTTCTTCTTGTGTCTCCTTCCCTGACCTGCCTGGCTCTCCCCGACCCCTGCCCATCTCCCAGCCTGTGAAGTGCCTTCTTTTTGTTTCTGTAATGTCATGTGTATATCTGTCTCTCCTGGCACTTACTACATTTTAACAATTTGTTTGTCTCCTTCCTGGTCTTCATTTTTTTAATCTCTCTATCCCCAGCATGCTGCCTGAACACCTGGGCAATGCTCCAGAAAGCCTGTCACTCTAGTGATGAGTCATTTGCTTGCACTAATGACCCTCTAACTCTGGAATTAAACAAGATTGAAGTAAGATTAAACAAGACCCCAAAGATCACCCACACTTTGGTTGCACTGTCAAATTTTCTTAAAAAGGTGATGAAAGGACTAAAAAGTCCCTTCCACTCTCTGCCCTAATGAAGAGATGGCCCTATCCAGTGCTTGCCTGCCACTCTGTCCCATTTCACCCACTTAGCTACAGTCTGACCTTTGACTCTATTA